AAGCGGCGTGCCAATCACTTGGCGGTGAGCAAAAGGTTAGTAGGCGATTTGGCCGGTGCCATCCAGCGACTTGAGCTAGTCACTCGCCAAAAGGAAGAAGCGGTGAAGTTGAGGTGTTGGTGATGGAAGGCAGCGCGAGATGGAGAATGCTGTGCGTTTTCGCGATCAGGCGCTCGGATCATTTAGAAAGTTGGAGAGGAAGTAGAATAGAGTCGAGACTTGAAGGTGGGCAGTCTGATTTCAGTCTCCGATACGCAAAACCGAAAGGGCATTGTCAAAAGCACCAAAATGGAGACGGATGGCCTCGTGCGGGACCTCCGAAATTCTCCGCAGGGATGTGAAAAAATTGTTTGCTGCAGGAGACACTGGAGGAGAAACATGCTGAAGGAGGGTCAGCTGAGAACGTCGAGGAAGTGTGAAGTAGAAATTTGTAATCTTTATCCTTCTTTTCCTACTCGTCAGCTCATGTAAGTATTCCATTTTGCCCTTCGTTTGTGCACAATCATTCGGATCATAAAACACGAACGTGATATTTGTTTATTCGCATCAACGAGGTTACGGAAGCACCATTCTAGTGTGTCATTATCACGCACTTGATGGTTGATGTGCTGGCCGCCGCCGACTTCTGGAATTGTTTTGGAACACTTCTGAGTAATACTGAGGCCACGTCCACAAATCTAATCGTAAGTCACTTATATACATTTAAATATACTGTATATAGAACCACGTTTACGTTACCCACTACATCGAGTTGCCCTCCTTTTGTCCTGGGAATCAAACCGTACATGAGACTATGCTTATACAGTGCAATAGTCCATCCAGTATCCCTTCAAGTGAGTAAGCTGGTACCACTAGACATGAGCATTGTTCCGCTGACAACGATGACCAAAATCTGAAGAGGATGACATCAATGGATTGAAAGACCAAGTCGACAGTGGGTAATAATGTTAGGTGAGTGGCGATCGCCCTTTGGGTAGATTCCAGCAATGTCATCTCGTGGGTTATGATAGTAAGGAAAGGATGAGAACAAAACTGCTGGCGTTTTACAAAAGCGCCAGTCCCGGATTCAGATACATCAGTGCAGGCGGCCTAGCGAAAAGAGTTGCAAATGTCAGAACTGGTCAAGTCCTAGAAAATCCCGCACATAACAGTCTGGAAGGCACCAATGAAGACGGAATGAACCGCGTCGAGAGCACATGCTTGGAGCGCTCATTTGAGACCTAGATGAAACGCCACAGTCCAAAAGAGAGCGCAAACGGTCGAAAAGAAGTAACTAATTCGGACTCTTACTCAAAGATGATATGGTGATCGAGGGCTGATTCAAAGTTGCATAAAGTTTTAGAGGCCAACCAAAACAGGATCAATACGAATCAATACCCATTTGTCTTTAGATTTAAAGACAAGGTACATGACCATTTCCAATCAATGATAAGAAAACTGCTCAGCTTCACCTGTGAGGAACTAAGTGAGAGGACCAAGAAAGCTCCAAAATCAGTCAAATAATCAGGTGTGCAAAACCAGATCCAACATAATAGCCAACAACCTGATCAGCAGTGGAGAGTAGATAGGAAAGTGGGGACGATTTCGAAATAGTATGTAACTGCAGGGTGTCATCGCAACAGGACTACTGGCTGAGAGCTAGTTTATCTGCTACCGCGTAGGCAGGAGGCATAAGATCGATGAGCCAAAAGCTGTGTTCATAAATGAATGGTTCAGTCAGCAAAATCGCCATGGTTCGTTGAAAGATTGGGGATCAGACTTTGAAATTCAATACATGATGAGTATTAATTAAATCATTCAATAATTTGATTCTCTTCGCCCCTTAACTGTACTCCACCTTCAATGGCCTGTGTGATTGTAATAGTTCGGTGAAAACAACAACTCAGTCTACGCTTGTCACCATCTTTCTTTTTTATATCCAAAAGTAGACATCTTACAAGAATCCGAAATCTTTGACGACCTCACCCAACATGAGATGAGATAGTGCCCGAAGTCTACTTCCCCCACATTGTCAACAGCTACGTTCATGACGTCGAAAGCCATCTTGCTTGTTTGCATGCTAAACGGAAGACACACACAGACGACCGCGGTATTCCAAAGGTGTATGTGGGTTACTTCTCAGATGCAATCGCATGACGATTTCAAAGCAAAGCACGTGCACTTCGATTCCATAATCGTCACACATGAACGTCTGGGCATAAGGCATCGTCAAAACTTACAGTGATACAGTCACGGGTGATTATGGGATGCACGTCTCACATAATTGTAATTCCCATACTGGTAGGGCGGAAAAAAAGAAATGACTGATGGCGTTTCTATGGCTATTCAGCTATTGGTTACCTATAAAACGTTCGTGGGAGCATGCAAGAATGTTCAAATGTTAGCGAAGAAAAATGTGCCGGTAGAACACACTAGGAAATCTGTCTAATTAAACAGGTTATTAAGGAGAGCGGACCGATTCACTAAACTAACGCACAGTCTGGGTTGCAGAAGTAATGGGAGTGGGCGGGATGAATCGTGATAATAACCGTGGTTCTAAAATCGTAGTTTAGACAAAACATTAAGTGATGACTCGCAAGCAAGACAAGAGTAAAGGCACAAATTGTCTGAGCAACAAACGTCACGAGGGCGTTAGAAAAACCACAAGAAAACAAACGTGATAAAGATGCGAAAGAAAAGAGTAAGTTCGCAAATTTTAACAGGAAGACTTAGCAACAGAAATAGAATAAATACAAAATCTATAAATTTATGGCCAAATCCGGATGTCAGTCTGTAACTGTGAAACATCGACAGTCCTACGAATAAATTCGTAGAGAAGGCTAACTACTCATCAACTCAGTATAACAGTTGACATTCGTGAATATGAAATTAACAAGGGTGAATGCAGAAAGTGAAAGCACAACGAAGTGGGACGACACATTAAAAAGCCGTGATCAGGTATATGAAGTGAAAAGTATGATTATTGTGATGATCAAGTTGGAGATTCAAGATCCCAGAATAATGTTCACAAATGAACGCATGGTAGACCAATTAAAACGACGATGAACGCAGAGAACAAAAACAAAGATTCACTCACCATGTCCACTTACACATACATGGTTGGCGGCATCAGGTTTCGGATTTGCTTGTCACTGTGGCTGCTATAGGACAGCCACAGGACGCCTGCGCCTACAGAGAGTCCATAGGTAACTTGCACTGCACCACCCACAGCTCCAACCACACACCCCATATCCAGTGTAAACCCGAAAGAAAAAGACCGGGAGGCATGTGGATGGGAGCCACGTCTCATCAACGAAGCCGGCCCATACATATTCACAAGCAGACACAAGCACGCTGTACTTGGGGAACCAAGGGCACACAAGGCGGTTGCTGGACAGCAGTCCGCTCCACACGGATTACATGGAAGCACTCTTCGAGCCTAGCACGGCCACGAGGACCATGTACCTCGTCCCCTCCAGCAACGACCAACTGTCTCCTGGAGCCAGTATGGACGAGGTAGAGGGTAATAGACAGGTAGGCAACTTGTCAAAACGCACATCAAATGCAGCCACACCGGGGTACCAAGCAACAGCCACTCACTTGAAACGACAATATCAAATAAAATAAATTGAATCAGGCATACAGGTACGGTGACACAACACTTCACTAAACGAGCATATGAAATGAATTGGTTGCCAAAAAATCCGCTATACTGTCAAGACGTCAGAAAATATATTGTAAGAAAATGCTACAACCGCGAAAATGCTATCAAAGTTACTTGCCAGTAACTTGAGCGACGTATGCAAGTTAACAGAAGATAGTTTAAGCAGGCAATAATGAGAAAATACAGCAAATTCGCCAGCTGAAATAAGGAGACCCAGCATGTAAACAAGCGGTTAGTAAATCGAATGCAGCGTACCTACGCTGCGCCGGTTCTGTCTACGTTCTCTGCAGGACCCGTCGTCGCTTCGGTGTTGGCCCCGAGTGGCCTCGCTAATGACTTATTAGGCCTCCCTGACTCAGGCAATCGCGCTCGAAGTCGACGGAGTACAACCCATCGGCGCCTGTCGCATCCGCAATTGCCACTTCTTCTCTGTATGCACGAGGGATTTCTCTTGCACCACGGCAACGGCCTTCGTGATTAGATCGCGCCATGCGCATCGATCAACCACCTTCGATTCCCATGATCTGCAATCAAGATTAGAACGTGAGGCTCACTTTGATCACGTCCTGGTAACGAAGCCTCGGTTTTCCCACATGCCGCTGCCCAACACTCAGCTGACCATATAATAGCTGCTTCGGTATCAGCGTCGAATCCATAAGGCTCACATGGCCGAGCCACCTCAGGTGTCTCAGTAAAAGTATACACTCCACTGCATACATCCCACTTCGGCGCAACACTTCCGTGTCCGCAACTCTGTCGTCCCATCTGATGCGCAGAATCCGTCGCAAACACTGTTGATGGAACCGCTCGAGATATCGCACATCCCGCCGGTACATCGTCCACGTTTCGCTGCCATATAGAAGAACGGACAGCACTACGGATTTGTACACCATCAGCTTCGTGCCGACGGTAAGCTAATGGTTGTGCCACGGTACTCTAGCTTCCCGAATGTCGCTGCCACACACACACACACACACACACACACACACATAGATGCAGTATATTACTGATCAACATGCGACATTTTTGTGCGATTAGTCACCGTAGGTGTTTGTACCATACTGGATCATGTCTTTGCAGGCGTGCCTCGCCCTGCCGAGAAAAAAGACATCTAATATGACCGCTGGATATATCAGCAATGCGCATTCCATCTGGCCACCGGAGTTCGAGAGCCCACAACCCGACTGTTACCAGTCCGCGAGCCACAGCACTGGACTAAGGAGGACAGCGACGACTAGATGTGACACCGTTCCAACCACCTATCACTCCATTGTAATCAGAGAATTGCATACAGAGCTGGCAATTGTAAACGCGTGAGGGAACGTAACCCACTCGTGATTGTACTAAAACAAGCACCAGTAATCGGACATGTATATCATAGTGAAACAGATGGAGCACATAAGACAAGTACATAATTTCCGTGCCTCGCATGTGTCAAAAAGTGAGCGTGAAAGAAACGTCCGCATTCTCGATAATTCCTTTTTATTAATAACAGTTGTTTAACTGAGGGAAAAGCATGAAAAAGGTGATCGAACAGGAAGATATACTGAGGTCCCAGATGTCCAGCGGTGCCCAGCTCTTGTGAAAGCCAGCTGATCGGACTGAAGTAGAAAGAGTCTGCTTCATCTGAGTGGGTGTATGGACGGTTTTTGAACGATGCTGATAGATCGGGGTCGCAGGACAAATGCCTCAGTGTGATATTGTGGTGGAGGTATCTAGAAGTGGGATGCGGACAAAAGAAGGGAAAATGATGTACGGATCATGGAGGGTTGTATCGATCGTTGGGTAAAACGACATACATCGATTTGAGAAGGATAACAGAGGGAAAATTCTTAGAGAACACGATGAGTAAGTGTTGGCCTTAAAAGGGAGGGCAGATCGAGGGATGCAAAGGCGAATGTGCGACAGACCAATTTCAAACAAAGACGAATGCCATTGACAAAATCGACATGGAAGCTTCCCAAGGGTTTCGACAGTCAAACATATGAAGAGTTGGAAGTGCCTTCTGGGAAAAGCAAACAATTAATATCAATGTACAACATCGTAACGTTCTTACACTGAGCAATGCTGCCACTAAACAACATGCTAGAGGATGTGGCGGGCAAATTGAATGCCATAGAACGAGTGTTGCAAGATGCTGCACCGATTACCCGGCAAATCCAGCACCAGGAATCTCATAGCTTTCAGTAAGGTCTTGAAAACGGCACAATTCAGACAGGCATTGGGAAAGCTCATGGCCCACCCAAAGAAGGTAGTCTCCAGGCAAGAACTGTAAATTATCAAACACAAAGTGTCACGGGGGTTTTTGTGGACAGTATCGAGAAGCGAGTAGAACGGTGAGTCAACCCAAAGGAGGATTACAAAAGTAGGTCAATTGATGAAGACTTTGATTTTTACCATCGTTTCAAAGACACTGTCGTGAGCGTTCCACGGTAGCTTGGTGCAACAGCTATATAGTGATGAACGCATACTTACCCGACAGAGGGAAAACTGTGACACGGCATGAGGACTAGCGCCTGAATGTCTGCCATCGGTCGCATGTGCCCTGTATGGTCGACCTTTTGGTTTTCGATAGCCCGGTGTAGAGCAGTGACAGCGTCCAGGGTGCCACGCTGATGAACCAGTGTAGTATAGAGGCCTAGAGGGGCGTGAGTGAAGGCGATCAGTAGGAAGACGATCCACCTTCGACGAGCCCGCTGCAGTTTGCCAACCTGCGCGGATTCTGTCAAGCGTACGGTAGCCGATGCGCACAGGTACATGGCCAATGGCAACAGTGGGAAAATAAAACGGAACTCTTTGTGTGCCAGACAGCTGTCAGGAAAGTGCAAAATGAAGAGTGGTGAACGAACATTATAAATGGGAAAATATTGACCATGAATCGTCACCAGAGAAGAGAATACGTACACACTTGAAAGTTGAGAATTCTTTACAGGCAACCATGTTATGCTGCGCATGAAACCATTGGGATCGAGGATCCGACAGTTTGGAATTAATTCGAGAAAAAACTGACTACTAGACGAGCGAGAGTAATAAAACAGATAAGTGAGCAAACAAACAGAACGTTGAAATGCTCCAGGAAAGGAGCCAGATCACAGAGGAAAACCGTGCTAGAATTATGGCCCGCGGTTCGAACATAGCACAATTCTACGGACTTCCAAAGATACATAAAGAGGATGCACCACTAAGACCAATCGTATCGCTCCCAGGCACATCTACGTACAACCTAGCGAGAGAGTTGTGGAGACGTCTCAAGCACCTAACAATGGGATCACAGCACTCTATACATAGTGCACAGTAATTTCTGAAGAAGCTCAAAGGTATACGAGTAGATCATGACGAGATAGTGGTATCGTTCGACGTGACCGCACTCTTCAGGTCTGTCAATTTACAGACCGCAAAGCAAGCAACCACCGAACGGCTGGACCAAAGTGAGAAAACAGTCGGAAAGCTGACAACTATGCCTCGCGACCTACTTTGATTTTGATGGACAGATCTATGAGCAGGTGAAAGGAACCCCAATGGGATCCCCTGTGTCAGGACTCGTTGCAGAAATAGTAATGCGGAAACTTGAAGAGGATGTACTGCCCATAATCGACCCAAAGTTGTGGATCCGATACGTCGATGATACATTCGTGATAGTGAAATGTAGTCAAGTAACGGCTGCATACGAGTTGCTCAGTAACAACATCGAAGACATCCGTTTTACGATAGAGTCGGAGATAGAAGACCAACTCCCATTTTTGGATGTGTTAGTCACCAGGACGATTGTTGGAAAGTTGCAAACATCGGTTTACAGGAAAAAAAACACACACCGACCAGATTACTCTAAACTACTACGGCAATCACCCAAATGTCACAAAATAGGCTGCGTGCGGACTCTCTTCCGTAGAATTGAAACATATTGCAGCACTCTTGAGGCGAAGCGGAAAGAAGAGCTATACCTGTTCAGATCACTTCACCTAAATGGATATCCACATAGCTTTGTCCCGCGATGTCTAAATAACAAAGCCACGACCTCTCAGCATGCTCAAACGACAACAAAACGAATCGTTCTACCTTATGTAAAGAACATCTCCGAGATGACAGCAAGAATATTCAAACAACACGACCTTACAATGGCTCACAAACCAACCGCCACATTGAGGAGAACCCTGTCGAAACCCAAAGCTAGACATAAAGCACACGAAATGTTTACAAGATACGATGTCAAGATTGTGATAAAAACTATGTGGGTCAGACAGAAAGACGACTGTCAACAAGAATACAAGAGTATAAGAGAGCTTGTAAGAACCATTACGCTCTCTCAGTGGTTTCGATACATATAGACGAAGAAGGACATTACATCGATCGGAATAACACAGAGGTCCTAGCAAAAGGAGAGACACGCAAAGGAAGAGAGTTCTTCGAAGCATGATACTCGACGCGGCATTCGATAAACATGCACATAGAGATTGATCCAGTGTACCAAACGTTAAGACGGAGGGAACTAAAACACCTTTTAAAAAACCGTCGTGGTCAGCTAAACGAGCCATCAACAACACATCAGCAACAGCCGGGGCAAAACCATCCCACGGATCGCCCGTGTCTATCAGAGTTGGGCAGACCGGTGAAGGTCACGGGGCACAGATCGAGGAGGTCAGTTCAAAAGTCACTTGCTGATCGATTACAAATCGACGAACAAGTCAGCGGATTACATTTGACCCAGCAGCGCACTGACGAAGTCACCTCGTTTGGTGATGAAACGTTTGCATCCCAATTCCGAAGCTTGGCGTGTAAGTGAACTCAGGAACGATCAAACCGAGCTACCGGTGCATCAGGTACGATAAGTAAACGAACCAGATAAATGAAGGATTTGAGTACTGGTGTCTATAAAGTCGTGCGGATAGCTGAAAAGATGAACCCTTTCAAACGCTGGAGAGACAGGCGTCTGGCTTTGTTAAGCCAGCAAGGCCAACATTAAGTAAACGGTCAACAAATGCACCAAGTACAAGCCATCGGAATAGATAAACAGCAGTGTCGAATGGGCGATGCTGCGGGTACTGTGGACTATAGAAGAAGTATATAAATCAGGGTTCAATAAAGAAACAGGCACAAAAAGAAAAGCCGACGAAATTAAGGAGCTGGCCCTTAGCATCGGAGTGGGGAGGAGCCGAATAGAACTGATGAATTGTAGCCGGGCCGTGATTTGACTCTAAGGTACGTGGGGGTAAGATAGCACATTGAAGCGATGAGAGCAGGTCTGTACTTTGAGATGCATATATAACTAGGTATATTTCACTTGATCAATAGTAGTGTAATCCGCAGTGTCACAGCAAGTTGTGCAGATATGAAGCTATCTGACTGGTCAGACTGAGGAAGAGGGTTAGTTTAGCGGACTCCGCCAGAAGCCCTGGGCAGTAGAAACTTGACCCCTATGACTGCGGAACGATAAACATAGCATGAATAGATTGAAACCGAATACTATATGGATAACATCGCTTTCAAGCAGTAACGAACTACCTAAAGCATCCAAGGGACGCGAGTCTAACAGCATGAAGGTCACGAAGTTTTACGAACTACCAAAGTCCTTGCCGAACACAAACCGTTGATAGTCGACTGGTTCATACATCTCCCACAAAGAGGAAGGTAACCATCGAAGATGCTCCCCGTCATCCTGCTAGGAGGGTACGTTTTCTCGAGCGCATACCAACTAAGCTCGCGAATCGTGGTCACTTAACTATCTGCCTCACGAAGCAGAACGAACTGATGTTCACGATCATACGACAACACGCCGGAAAGATATCGATCAACAGACCAGTGTTAAAGTGAAATCAGTACCCATGACTGATCAAGTCACAACCAGTGCCGTCGGGATGGTAAGAGTTAACTCAAGTCTAGTTCGCGTTTCGGTATTTAATTAACTCCAGCTGACCGCGTATTCGTCTTGTTGGTACTTCCTTACTAGGGATTGGCCCACTCACGCAACGTCCGTTATGTACTCACTTCTGGTTCCAGAGATGAGTGGTCAATGACCGTATCATAGTCGGTCGCATTGGGTTTGACACGGTGTCGTACGAGATATTGTGGTATCTTATGAGAAACCAAGTGACCATCGCAGAACCACCCACGTTCCAAGACGTTGTCGTTGGTTGTCCGTGACCACTTGTTCATCTTGCCCGCGACCAGACGATAAATGTCTAGAGTTGTCTCCTAAAAGAAAGCGTTCCCGTATCCGCAACCTGAGGATGCGCACGGTAGTGCACAGCTTCGCTGCACGAACAAGTGGTCGGTTCACTTGAGGAGAAAGCCGAAGTAGTAAAAAAAGGTAAAAAAATAGGTTCCACATCATCAATACTCCACAGCAAGGGAACAATCGTGAGTCGGCTGAATTAAAGAGAAAAAGGCCTCTGTAAAGTATGGGGAAACAGAATGATTTACCTGTAGCAAAAGACGGTCCACGAGAACAAAAAGATAATCAGTTTGCTTGACTTGCGACCATCAACTGGGAGAAATGTCCTCTTTGTGAGCAGATACTTGCGGGATGTGCTAGTGGACGCCTTCAACCAAGGGAGGATGAAGCCAAACAGGACAAAGGGAGTTTGTGTCCACAGCATGGCAAATAATCCTTGTGAAAGGTACCAATGCCATGAATGGGAGCCATAGATTTGTGAACCACCACGGAGAAGGTTGAACAGTATAAAATTCCATTGATTAATAGTCCATCGACCAAAACAGACTCTATCCACCAAACAAGAGAGTCCTAAGCAGGCAACTCCGACAGTACAGTATGAAAACAGCACAGAAAGGAAGGCAGATGAAGGTTGTTTTTGACTGAACGAAAGAAGGACAGGAAACTTGGATGGTAACTCCATAACATTGGACAAGTCGCAATTATGAGCATAATGCGTAGTAAACATTCAAAGGTTTCGAGGAGCCAAAAGTCCATTTTAAGGGAGTGAGTAGGCAAATAAAGCAGACAGGTGCGTGGGAAAATGTGAGCTACCGTGTAAGGAACGTGTGCACACATAAGGCCCGAAGTCCCTGGAAAAAGGGGAGTAAGCGGATATAAAGGAAGTGGCCACATTTGAGCGAGTGGAATAGTAACAGGGTAAGGGTTTCATAACATTGAGAACCTACTAGCATACTTTTGTAGCAACCCAATTAAAACTGGCCAGATTATGACTTGATTAAAATAGCTAATCTGTCAAAACGAGCCGAAGGCCACAAGATGGTCGATAATTTAGTACGGGAGGTAGTTGCCATCCCGAAGGAAAAGGAGTTTTGCTGAGTTGTAGCTAATCGAATGGCTGCGTTGAGGGCCACCGAGATGACTTAGCAGTAGTAGTTGTTATTTCAAGTGAGGAAGATGGCAGGTTTGATGCTCCACTGGCTTGAAAAGAATGCACTTCAGTGACGTCGCAAGTTGTGCCTAATGTTCACTCAGGCGTGCGGTAGCTATTCGATTGCGTCCACTTCAGGTACTTTTTAAAAATTCTGAAACACGCAAAAACGAGTGTGGACAAAGTGAGTGCCATGACGTCAATCACCTTGTCCCGACAGACTGGATCCGCTCCGTCATAGTCCCAATATTCAAGGGTGACCCTCGTTCGGAATCCAGCAATAATAGAAGGATCAGTCTGATTTCCATTGCCTCCAAATTGCCTGCGTCAGTCGTTCTCCATAGACTGACTGGAGCTCGTGAAGGCCAGATCCGCGAAGAGTAAGCCGGGTTGCGTCGAGGTCGGGGCTGCATCGACATCAAAAGTGCCTTCGATTCGATGTGCCCTCTGGAACTGTCTGCTGAGAAAAGGTGTGCCCGATAAATACGTAAGCATTATCAAAGCGCTGTGAGCGCATAATTTGGGCAGAGTGAGGGTTTGTAGCAAACTGCCGCCGTTCTTCTCTAGCGGTGTGAGCCAAGGTTTCCCGATGTCACTTTTCCTCGTTAACTTCGCTATTGACGAAGTCATGGAAGCAGTGTTTGCCGGACACAACCCACAAACTGTGAAACTACTTTCTGGTGAGCGATTTCTCGACTTGGAGTTTGCTGACGACATTACCCTTATCTGTGACAACTTTCAAACGTGCCAAGCAGCAGTGGACAGATTAGCACTGGTTATTAATTGTTTCGGGCTATGCTTTACTCCATCGAAATGGAAAGTCTTTCTACAACATTGGCAAAGACCCACCCCTGCGTTGACCCTTGGTTCAGGAATTCAAGGATCTGGGTAGCTATATTAGCGCCCGTGGGATCGAAGATGAGGTCACGAACCGTTTAGTAAAAGCTAGAAGTGCTTTTGCCAATCTCCGCCACATGTAGTGCCGGCGCGACATCACTCTCGCTCAGAAATGCAGAGTTTATAATCCAGCAGTTCGTTCAACATTTCTATACGGTTTTGAAACCTGATCCATCAGGTCGACAGACATAAAGAGGCTAGCTACGTTCGACAATTGCTGCCTTCGCAGCCCAGCTCATGTCTGGTGGGAGCACCGAGTGAGCAATGAATGTGTTCGGCATCGTGTATTTGGTGCAGAAACAGTGAGTGAGCCGCTCAGTAGCATTGTATTACGCACCAAGATCCGATGACTGGGTCACCTGTTGCACATGCAAACACACCGACTCCCGCGACGTGCATTGATTGCGCGCCAAGGATGCGGCTGGAAGAGGGGGAGGGAAGACCAAGCGATAACATAATTGAGAGAAATGAAAGCCCTTATTTCGAAGTTGGCGTCGGTTGGTGCTGGGGTCCTAAGGACGATGAACAAGTTTGTTTGGACACACAAGCTGATATGGCGAAGAGCCAGTGACAGTGGCGTTTGTGTTGTGAGTTTCTTTGTCCATCCCCTCTCCTTTAGATCCCCCTTCCAATTTGGATCTCATACGAAGTACATAGTATAATATTTAACATTATATTACCTGCTTTTGAAATTTTGTAACGTAAATTTTATGGATCTATCTTTTTGTATTGCGGCACATTAGCTGAGGTGTATTTGTCACGCTCAACTAACGTGTATTGATAGTGATGATGACAACTATAGTGATGCAAAAGAGGCATAGTCAGTGGGGGACTACAGGAAAGAGAATGAACCCACGAGAGAGCGGTTAAGCAATGTAGGGTTGACCGGATTCACTGCGAGTACTTAACTGTCGAGAAGTGTGGAGGGCATTGAGCAGCACGTTAAGAAAACTAAGTGACCCAGGTAGAAAACGCTTGCAATGTTAATAAACAACGGTTAATCGGACGTTGGGAGAGACTTTGCATGAGGTTGCGACCATCCTAACTAGTAGCTACGACTCAGTAATGACCTCATAGAGCACGATAAATTTCGTAAAGGAACCAAAGAAAGTATAATTGCAGTAAAACCCGCTATGTTGATTTGTGCACTTCGACTGGGTGCCAAATTTCGAGCGTTTTCCGAAATGTATGTGCCAACTCGGAACTGGTTAATTGGTTACCTGAATCGGTTTCACTGGGAAGATGAAACGATGTCGACGCCTCTGTTCCGTCAAAAGTCGGTGTGGATACAGCACGAGCACCAAGAGCAATGTCTGAAAAATTAACCTACTCTGCTTCCAACATTATCATCCATATTCCCAATATCTCTCATTTTCCACCTTACTCGTATACGCCTAGCGTACAGTCAAACCAAAATGCCTGAGCCAGTAGACAAGCGCCAACCATGTTTGCCTCACACAAAACAAATAAATCTCCCATTCTGTCTGTCTCAGCCAATGTGTATAGCTGCTGAACTGAAAATAAATAAATACCTCGTCTTTGACTATTCCCTTTTAGTATGTCACAAAACATAAAACATTTTAGCCTAAATTAGATGCTATCTTCTATAAGTGTGAATTAGGCTTTAATGTTGCTCTTATCACCACAAAAGTGCTTTTCATCTGACACCCAAGGAAAAGAAAACTTGGTTCCGTCCGTACACGGAGTTCTCCGTCAGGATACCATTTGAAGCTTTGAACTGGACAACAATAGATCTTAAAAACACGATTTTTATTGCTGTCTGATATTTGGAATATGCGGCTAATATTATACGAAACCTTTATAAACCCGCGAATATACATCATTAATATTATTGTTATTATAACACACTATATATAAACAACCATTGCGTAATCGTCAGCATTAATCCGGGGATTATGTGATTATCGGTTGCGAACCAATCAGAATCCCACTATAACTGACTATGGACGCGAATGCGTCACCAAATGATTTTGAAAAAGATACACCAACCGGTGCAACAGTATGCTGATGGCCGTGGGTGGAAAATAGTGATTTTCGGTGGTAATATTGTCATCATCATCATCATACACGTTAGCTAGAGGTGGGGAACACCTCAGCTACTGTGCCGCAATACAAAGAAAAAGGGGAGGGAAAAAAAAACAACTGGTGTAAGCTGGCTGAGCTACCGGTAACGGATGGGCATCGTTCCGGTAAGCTACCAGCCGGCTGCTGTGCACCCAAAAAAAATTATTATGCAAAATTATATAAGGCTAAGTAATGAGATCGTGGTTGGAGGGGGAGGCTAATAGGTAATATTGTACTCAGCAGCCAGTTGCCACGTAAGCTAGATAGATGAGCAGAAAAAGGTCGAGAGTGGAAACGTATTCGTATAGTGCAATTTGTCCACATCGTTCATTCATCCACAATTTTCCTGCTTTCTACTCATTGATTGACATGGCAATTCAGGAGCGTGCCGCTGATTCGTTAAGTGCGAGTACAGGTGACGGGTAAAATACCTGTAAAGCTGCGCACTTCATTGAGGATGGAGATGTAAACGCCATGCTGGCGAGTGCGAAAAAATTGACAAACATCATGATAAGTGCTACGGATCGACAGAATATACTGATGCAAAGTTTGTTATCCACAGCGAGTGGTAATGCGCGCAGTCTAATGCTAAGAAAATCTATTGTTCGATGAGGGCCCGTGATGAAAAACCTTACCGCCTATAGGGGGGTCACGGTTGAGTGCAGTTTCATCATCATTATACACGTTAGCTAGAGGTGGGAAACACCTCAGCTACGGTGCCGCAATACATAAAGGAAAAGGAAAATAAATACAATTGCTGCATGCCAGCTGAGCTACCAGCTAAAAGGGATGGGGAGGGACAAAGAAACTCACAGCAGGAACGACACTGAGGTCGACTCCTTGCCAAGTCAGCAAGTGTATCCAGCCAAACGTGTTCACCGTCTTTTGGACCCCATCCAGGGAGCCGTGACGCTCCAACCTAGGTCAGCTCCGAAGTGAGGGCCTTCATTCCTCTCGACCAAGTCATCGCTTGGCCACCTCTCCTCTTCCACCCACATCCCCGGTGAGCAAACAACGCACGTCGTGGAAGTCGGTGGGCTGGCATGCGCAACACGTGGCCGAGCCATCGGAGTCTGTTGCGTGAAATGACGGTGCTGAGCGGTTCATTTTCTTTTCCTGTGCTCTAAACAAGGCGTCGAACACGCTCGTTACTCACGCGGTGTTCCCACCAAATGTGAGCCAGACTGCGAAGGCACCGATGGTCGAACGTAACTAGCCTCTTCATGTCCGCCGATCTTAGAAGCCAGGTTTCGCAACCGTACAGTAGGGTCGAACGAACCGCTGCATTGTACACTCTACCCTTCAGAACGAGAGTAATGTCGCGCCACCGCCATAGGTGGCGAAAGTTAGCAAAAGCACTTCGAGCTTTTGCTATACGGTTTGTGATCTCGTCTTCAATCCCAAGGGCGCTGATACAACTTCCCAGGTAGTTGAATTTCCGAACGACTTCTAGCTGATCCCCACCAAGGGTCAGCGCAGGAGGTGATCCCTGCCAATCTTGGAGGAACG